GCTGCAATGTTTACATTTATTCATGAAACGCTACACTGCCTATTCATCCCACCTGTCACCCATTCCATTTGAAAGGGCCTAGCGTGGTCCCCCTGCCCCTCCCACTGACGGCGAAACCAGCCATGCCCACTTGTTCCCTCCACCATTCGATTCCCAGAGTCTGATTAACTTTTCATGCATTTGGTTCCGCCAAAATGTATGTGCACTCAGCCACATCCTTTATTGATTACTTGGAGTGCAAACAGTAGGCGGCGTGTGATATACATAATTGGACAGTTGTCAGGGGAGGCCGAGCAGTGATAGCAGCGTCTCTTCCCCTCAGCTGCTCAGAGATGGGCCACTCCTGACACGGAGCACATGCCTCTTATGCTTCCAATAGATCAACATGTTAGCACCACGGCGCTGACAATGGAGCCAGTGCCCACAATGACAGCTTGTGTTAGTGTTCTATCAGTGAACTGGGAGTGAAATATGTACACACTTTCTGCCTTTTATTATGTAATTCCTGATGTTTTGATGGTTTAAATTGGAGAAAGATCATCTTAAAGCATGGAGTACCTCGTCTTGTTTGAGTAACATTCTGTTAACAAATCAGACCACAACCTGCTGTCTTTATCTAATTAGAAAATATGTAATCTTTTACATACTAAGAGCTAATTGGCTGAGTGAGAGCAGATCTTTTTATTGTTAATGTATTATACCATTTACCTTTCAATAACACAGCATTGTTTTTTAATAATATAGAATATCAGTTTTATATAACACTTTTTTGGACATTGAAAGACGTGCCATTATTCATTCACTCTATACACAGCGAAACTACCACTGTAGCTACAGCTGCCATGAGGCACACTGACAGAAGCAATGAGGCAATGTGTCTGAGGTGTCTTGCCTAAGGATACAACAACAACAGCCACAGCCGCCTCACAGTGGTACCTTCTGTTGCCAGATGTGTCCCATCACAGTGCTAACCAGGCCCTGCCCTGCTTAGCTTCAGAGTTCTGACTGGATCTGGCTTTCACATGCAGGTATGGCCACAAGGACTTGTTTAATCGCAGAAGATATAGATTCTGATGAGGATGAAGGTTCTCTGCTTAGATAATGACCATAACAATAATAATATTTATAACAATCATAATAATGAAATAAATCTTATTTATAAAGACCAAGTTTAAAAAGTGCTTCACAACAACACAAACAGAGCATTAATAAAACATGGTTAGAGATAAAGAAACACATCATTAAAAATCTTCTGTCAACACGCACACAACACGTAAAGATCACACACTCACATGAACAGGGTTATAAAAAGGGAAGTCGATAACAATGAGTTTTTAGAAGTGATTTAATTTCGCTACCGATGATGCTAGCCTTATCTACTCAGGCAGGAACATGTTTGTGTTCATTTTTCAAACGGCAGGAAGAAGAGACGAGGCAGTGTATGTACAGGTGAAATGACCAATAATCCAATACATTCATATGCCTGTGCCGAGCCTTTGTTTATTATGGTTTTGGTTGATTAAGTCGTACAGTCCATTTTCAAAATATCATTTTTTTTTTAAACATGTTTTATTTGGGGGTATCTGCAAGCTGTGAGCCATAAATATCAACATTATAACAAATTCAAGCGTGCTTACCTGCCGCTCCGGGGCGCCGGCCCGGTGTGTGATATAAGTACTCCCATTCTCATCTGCTTTTTGCCCACACACTCTTCTGGGACCTTGTGTTTGGCCGCATTTTTGTCCAGCTCCAGGTAAAGTTCCGTTTAAAGTTCCAAAATCAAGACATTTGCTTTCAAAATTCCGTTACTGAGTTGCCTGGTCGGTGGTGTTTCTGGTTGGTGATTTTGCCTGGTTGGTGATTTTGCGCCTACTGTGATCTACATTGTAATATTGTGAATGAATCTGTCAATTACAATCACAAAATAAATAAACGTAAATGAAATGCGACTGGTTGTCTTGTTCTGTTAATATAGTTACTTGTGTGCCTTCAGGCTGTAATAATCTATTTCCCAGGAAGTCTGGGAAACTCTTTGTTTAATTTCTAATCTACATATACAGATTATATATGATTAAAAAGACAACACTTATTTGCTCTGTTTACAAAGTTTACTGGCATTTTACTATTTACTGGTACTAGTGCCAAAAATCACACTCCTAATAGAAAAGATAACGATAATTTAATAGATTTAATAAAGCCGTGTTATGGCGTACTAATAATGAATATCAAAAATAGTCTGATAGACTGTTTAATATACGACACAAGACTTATTTTGGTAAACAAATAACCCTCTTGTACTAAATACTAGGCCATGTAAAAGGTGAATTTTATTAGTAACTTTGGTAAGTTTCAGATTTCAATTCATAATTCACATCGATGAAGGGGGGCCCAAAAAATACAGCTTGCCTAGTGTAGTTCATTCCTTTAATCCAGCTCTGAACGGATGCATTATATCACAGTAACATTTATCTTGCCTCTACTGTAGACCTCCTTCTCCATGCAACAAAGTGCAAGCCACTGTTTTACAAATGACAGTTCCAGTCGAGAAAGGTAAACACAGTTCTTTTCCAATGCAAGCAGATGCAATTGCTCCAGTGTCGTTAACAACAGCCTTCCTGACTATTTAATCCCATGTCTCTAATTGCACAGTGTTTACTAAATGCCTCCATGATAAAACACACACCATTTTTGACTAATGTTGACGCAATTCTGTGCTGTTTACAGTGCAGCACTTCTCAGCGTCTTTGAACCGACACGCCATTAAAAACACTCTGGAGATTTGATAGCGCCTTGTATGTAATATACCCAACATGTGCTGGGCTAATTATTCTTATGAATGCGTATAAAGCACAATAAACTGGAGGAGCTCTGCTGGAACAAAAGACAGTGAGGAAAGCCAAAAGTGTTTCTGTCTGCTACCGCAATTACATTTTCTGTATCAAGCAGGGATGTAAATAAATGGAAAGGGTTTGGAGAAAGAGTGTTTACAAACGTGTCTTTCATTTTAGTAACTTTCATCGAACGCTATTCAAGTATTTTGGATGTGTTCAAGTGCAAAATTTGCAGTATACTTATGAACAGACTTACTCATTGTGTTTAGGCTTTTCCCTCTACACGGATCTTGTCTTGGAGACATGGTTGATCAAAGGGTGATTCCATGTTGTTGAAAATGTCCAAAATCAATTGGTAGAGGCATTTCAAGTGTAATCTCCGTGGGGACAAGCCAAAAAGTTGCACAATGCTCCATCAAAGGTTATATTCACCTTTTATCCTGGTGATGCAGAAATAGAAAAATATTTGATGGATCTTTTATGGGTTGTAGCAATTTTCACCTGGATCTAGTGCATTTGGTGATTGATTATCAGCTCTAGGTGTATCGATGTAAAGAACACATCCAAGGACTGGGACAAGAAGCCTCGCTTAAAGTTTCAACCCCTGGCAAAGCATGTTTGGAGTCGTGGTTGAAACCGGAACGGCCAGAGGAAACCCATCAGATACAGAGAAAAAGCATGAAAACTCTACACAGAAAAGGCCAGGTTTAACCAGAGACATTCTTGCAGTGGGAGTGGGTATGAGGAAACATAGGGATTTATTTTTTAAATCTTAGAAATGAGGGAAAATTGGGATCATTGATCTATAGAGCACAGGGATTACCCCCTTGCGGTGAGGCCCCATTGCTGCCAAACTGGTCTGAACGTTTTTGTAGGATCAAACTACTGCAATTCTTGAATTTATGTGGCTTTTAAATTGCCCAAAGACTATGTTGTTTAACAGTGGAATAAGTTATTGTAAAAAGCACCCTTACCTGTATTACTATAAGTCCATGATGCTAGTCAAACCTGTGCCCCTCGTAGCATCAAATACTTTCCTAAAAAACTTGGCTTTAGAGGAGGTTATGTCCAGACTTCTAAACAACATGATGAAATAATTCACTCCACCCATGTGAACATCATCACAACAAAGTGGTGCACATAGCAGCTTCTATAGCAGCTCCTCTTGCCATTGTTGCAGTGTTCAAGAAAGCAAAGTTGGTTTGAATGCTTGGAACATGTATACACTGCACTAATGATGAAAGATAAGCCAAACATTTTGACTGCCTTAAACAAGATTTGCCGATGGGACAAGCAAAATGATCTTGTTTTAAAAAGATACAGGAACTATCTCATTTGGAATGAGAAACTAAAGCAACAATTCTTGATATATGAATAAATGGCTGGTCCCATTGGCGAATCTTGTTTTAGACAGTCAGAATGGACTCAAATTTAGATAAATAAGACACTTGATTCAAGCAATTACTATCATTGCAGTGTAGTACTCAAACATGCTAGAATACAAAATGGCGTCTTGCCTAATTTAATAAATATGTATTGTATTTGTGAAAAGTCCAATGTATCTATTAATTGCATATTTTTTTTAATTGTGAAGTTACGTCACGCTTGCCTGCTTTCCTCTGCTCGCCGGCCCAGGCAAGCGAATCCACACATCTCCTTATTGACCTGCCCTACACCTGCTCCTCATACCTTTAGTAATGAAAGGCAAACAGCGGCTGGCGCAATTGTACCGACCCGTGATCCAAGAGGTGATGAGACGCCCCGCTCCAACCCCCCACCCCTCCCATGCTCGCTAACGCATTCACCCGCACAAATGCTTGTAATAACTCCATCAAACCCACGTCTCCATGTTATCACAAGGTTAGACACACAGAGAGACGCCCGCTGGAATTTCACATTTTGCACCTCTCGGCCCTTCGTACACTCCAAAGAATAATTCGGGCTGGTCAAGGTTAGGCGTGCTGTTTGTGTGTGTTGGCTAATCATACGCCAATTCCAAGGTAATGCTCTGGAGTGTTCAGCCTTACAAAAACATTCACTTACACGGATTCATGGGGCCTGACATAGCTCCACGCCGGGGATGGTCTTCAAGGGACCCAAACAAAATCCATAATTAATGCTATTTTCCCCACTTGGACATGTAGGGCTTTCAAGTGGGCATAAAAGAGGCTAGTGAGACTTGGCTCCCATTGTGGAATCACAGATGAGCAGCTCGGCTTTACAGGGCCACAGGGATGCGAGGACATAAGAAGAGAGGTGGTAGAAGTGGTGGCAGAAGTAGTTGTCGTATCTGGCCACGGAGTACGGCGAGCGGAGATGACAGGTGCGCTGGTCCGAGCTGTAGAGGAGTCATCGGTCAGTGAGCACATTAGCTCGCTGACGGAAAATGCAAAGACACTTTTTGATTTGTAAAAGGAGGGGGAAAAAACAGTAGTCTTAGGTACAGTACTTTCTAGAGCAGAGGGGTTCCCAACTTTTCAGGTCAAGTTCTCTATAATAAGCTTATCTTATCTTATCTTATCTTAAGCTTGAGATAAACTCATGACTCCACTGCTAAATAGACTGGATGAAGTATTGATTTCATGTATTAGATCATGCTATGTGCAGTGCTTATTTAATTAAATAGTGTTCTGTATATCAGGGCGACAGTGGCTCAGTTGTAGAGCATTGGCCTTTGAGCCTGAAGATCATGGGTTCGAGCCCACCATGAGACGTTCTCCATCGTCTCCTACTGATGTCTGCTGTCTTTGTGTCCTTGGGCAAGACACTTAACCCACTTTGCCTGAAGTCCCTGCTGAAAGATCAAGACAGCTATGCTCTCACAGACAGAGCAGCCATCCTCCTGTGGACTCACCACCTGCAGGAGGATCAGTGAGGGGCTGGTGCTCAGTGGATTGGGTTCAGCTATGGCCACCCCCCTGACCCAGAAATGGATTAAGGGGAAGAAGAAGAAGAAGATGGATGGATGAAGTGTTTGGTATTGAATATTTGCTCAAAGACATGATTGTATTATAATATTTTTTACTTCTTTCTGTTTTTTGTTATCACATTATTTGTTATCACATTATTTGAATTTCTAGACATAACAACAGCTAAAGTGAAAGCACTCAAGACAAACATAGGTAAGGAATCTATTTTTTGGGGGAGTTCTGGCCCCAGCAGTACATTATATATTTATTTCAATGGAAATGGAAGCACATCTAAATCCTAAACATTTACAACTCATATCTAGTCGTATACCGCAAACTCCTAAATATGTTATACAATGAATGTTAGCAGTTTACTTTTTAATTTATTGAATTGCATTTACTGCATTTTATTATAATTAGTGACAATGCATATTCATCAACATTGATACCTTAAGCGTCAGTGTAAAAGCGCCAAACTTAGCATAACCGCTAAATTTCTATGTTGACTTCTATTATGATGGACTCCTCAAATTCAACCTTGCTTGAACTTCTAAAATATCATAAACGACATTTGATCTATGCTTTTGTCCATTTGTTGAACACTCTCCTCATTATGAGCTGATATCTGGTACCTGAGACTACATCCAATTCAAAGTTCACTCACAAAAGCCATTCAAATTGCAGCTGCTGAAAACCACTCCTGCAATAATTGTAATTCACTGCACTGTGCCCCAGCGCTTCCTCTCACTCATAATAAATTCCACTGGCTTGCTTCCATATATTAATTTTCTCCACATGCCTTCATTCTTTCTTGTTTCTTTACCTGTTCGCCTCACATCCTATGACCCGCTCTGTCTCATCACCGGTGTTGTACGCTGCATGTAATTACCCAGCCATCAAAGGGGAACCGCCGTGCCAATCAGCGCATCAAGGGTTAAGGGGGACACACTTGTCTGCTGCGCTCACGCCGTACGCACATCTCTGGCCCCGGTGCAGCGCAGCAGTCTTTGCTAATGACTCGTAGCCAACAAATTCCTAAGACTCTCAGGTGGCTTCCTCCAACCAGGCTGTGTGTGATGATTAAAAGGCCCGGGTAAGATAAACTGACAGTTGCAGCTCATTGCGAGGAGAAAGGAGCCCATAAGCCCAATGCTGCTGCCCCCCACCCACACTTGCCTCTGCCCTCCTGCGGTGTGGGACACTCCAGCAGGACGCTCTGCTGCTGTCTGCATTGGCTCTAATGCAGACGGTTCAGGTGCAAGGTGTGACCAAGGTATAGTAATTACCCTGACGATACATGAATGAGAACTGTGCTAAAACCCGAAAGATCACAATGAGATCTTCGTCCCACAGTGGAGAAATTCCAGTGTTGCATCAAGGGTTGCAGAACAGTAGGAATGAGGCGCACACAACTCTAGATAAATGAACAATAACTCTGTGGCTTTTGCATGAGATAGCAAATCTAAAATCTCCAACTATAGCATAATGAAGAGGCAAGAATTGAGTACACAATCTCTGACTTTTGCACAATAAGAAATGACAAAACAGAGTGCACCTTTTTGTTTTGTGTGTGAAATTCTGCATGTTTTTTTACAGTGCGCTTCTCGTCGTGTATACACCAACAAAATAATATACAACATCAAATAACTGCTAATACAACATTATAGTTACCTTTATTAAAAGTCAGAAGTAAAATTGTGTGGCTTGTGTGCAACACGGTGATTAGTTCAGAGTTGTACCGCAGTCTGTCTGTAGCCCACAGTCCTGCTCCTGCCCCTCTGTGCCGCGTCCTTTGCAGCTGTTTTTTACAGTGTATGCACGCCTTTTGACAGCTGCAGCTTCATTTAGTCCTACAACAATCAGGTTTGATATCACAGCAATCGCAATTCAGCAGTCGTGTCTTGCCACGAGCTCTGGTGTGATGGCACACACCAGAGCTCGTGGCAATCCTGGTGCTCACCGGGGTAGTCTTGCAGTTTTTCCAATGTGATTTTAAAGCAAATGACAAATACATGTTTTCATTTGGTGATTTCAGGTGGTTAGAAAAGTGTATAAAGGGGGAGCATTTTAATATGTTACACAGCTGTAAAAAGTATGACACGGATTTCCCTTATTGCGGGATAATTTTAGAATGCAACCCCTGCTGTAAATAAAACCACTTTATTTTTAGGTTTTGATCATCAGAAACATACCAGCAGCCATGCTCCCATTCAAACCAATTGAATTCCGAGGAATTCTAACAAAGAATGTTTAGTTTTTATTTATTTATGAGAATTTTACCTTTACTCACTTTTTAAAAGTGCTGAAATTGGTCATTATAACTGCAACTGAATTATAGAAACAAAAAGCTAAAGTCTCAAAGTTCTGAAGACCATGAATGCACCTGATATGCGTAATTACAATTCCAAGACCAGAAGCCGTCAAATTGACTGCTCAGGGAGTTCAAGTGTTAACATGCCCCCACCTCCTTTAATGTATTTAATTTCCAAATACTAAAATATCCATAAGTCTTTACTGCGTCACACACATATGCAAATGCAGTATAATCACAGCACTCTTGCCAGAGTCACGTGGAGGTGCAGTGCTAAAGAGAAGTGAGGCGCTGTGGGGAAGAGGGGTCCTCCACTGTTCCCTCATTAGTGCCATAATCCCAGCTCTTTTATTTCAGTCCATTAAGCAGAGAGAGTGTGACCACCCCTCTCTCGCCTGCACACATGACACACTCCAATCAATACACTCCCACTGCTGCTCACCGGGCGCTGCGAATGAATAGATTGCACTGCAACAGTCTGTCTAATTGAATTCAGTGGAGTACGCTGTGTGGATATGACGGATGAAGGAAAAAAAACAAAACAAAACAGATTTATGGTAGGAACTTTTGCATCAAAAATAAGAATAAAAAAAAATACAACCCTACATTAATTAATTTATTTTATTGTTATTTTAATATAGAATTGTTGTTCATTTTTCTTGTGTTGTGTGCTCCTCATTCCTACTGTTCTATAACCGTTGATGCAACACAGACATTTCTTCACTGCGGAACAAATAAAGGATCTTTAAATATTGATTTGTATTATGCATTGGTGTCCATTTCAATACATACAAGTACATTATTTTAAAGCTGATGTACCCAACTTTCTTTTCCCAGAATTACTACTGTTTGTTTGTACCAATCAGTCTTGTCAAAGAAGTGTCCAAATCCGACTACAATATGCCAAATGAAAGATCCCTGTGAGTCACTGTCTGATGTTTCTGGCTGAGAGATGATTAGCATGAGTGACGTCTCTTTTTTGACTTTTCTGTCCCAAAAAAGCACATTTCAAGATTTGACAGAGGCCACTAAATACAAGCATGTGAAAACTAGTGATGGGACCAAGTTTTATATAATTATAATTTGAGTTTAAGTGCCCCAGCTTTTATTAGTTTGTTTAGGTATTAACAGAAAACTTGCTCAAAATATATGAGAACTGCAACTACACTACTTCTACATTTTTTGGACCATTGATAATCAGAAAGTAACTACTATTTCTGTAATATATTTGTTTTAATGTTTAGAATAAATACTTCATGATGGGTACATGAGCGAGGACTAAAAACTGAACTTCACAGTTTTGCGAAGGCTTTATAATATGTACATGGATTCATGATTGCATTCATCATGAGTCACTACCTTCACGTCCAGATCATCATCATGAGTTTCACAGTGAACAGGATTTTACGACAATGATGAAGAGCGACAAACATGACTCATCATGTTAAGTCATAATTAAACTAACCATCATTACTCATCATTGTCCTACATCCTGATTATCAGGGTTAATTCACCCTACAGTCCTACAGTTCTCATGATTGAAAAAAGTATTATGATTAGTTAATTATGACTTTAAATATGATTTGTTGTGATAGTTCATGATTAGTCGTGATGGTTCACTTTGCCTGAAGCTCCCACTGAAAGATCTCAGCTCCTGTGGACTCACCACCTGCAGGAGGATCAGTGAGGGGCTGGTGCTCTGTGGACTGGGTGGCATCTCTGGCCACCCCCCTGACCCAGAAATGGATTAAGGGGAGGAAAATGGATGGATGGATGGTTCATAAGATATGATAAGATAAACTTTATTTATCTCACATTTGGCATAGACAGAATTACTCAAATTCAAAAACACAGGAAGCGTGCAAACATGTTAAAGGTTAGAAAGAAAGTCTATTTTACTTTTGTGCATGCTATATTATGTACAATAATGAGTCATGATCGTTCATAATGAACTCGTTTTCTCTGGTTTTTATCATGACTTTGATGAGTTTATGATGAGTGTGTGTTGTGAACCTCAATATGAAGGTATTTCATGAATTAACTCATGCCATGAATCATTAGCATTAACTCATGAGGAATTCATGCATGAACTCAACATGAACTCATGGAGGATGTATAAATTCATATTTTAGTTATTGTATAGTAACTGGTTAGAGTTGAAATCATGCACGTTACTGAAGTGTGAGTTCAGCTTACTGGTGTTCTTCCATACATTTGCTTATCGAAAAAAAAAAAGGAAAATGCAGAAACAAAACAGAGGAAAGTAATGCTCTGAACTCTCCCAAACTTCTCTCCCCCTTGTCTGCATCGCAGTAGCTCTGCCGTAGTGAATAATTGAAGTTTCTCTGTAAGATACATCTTTAGAGAGCACTGTGCATGGATTCACCTGCGCGGCCCGTCTAAACCGCGCCCCCCGCTGCTCCTCACTCGCAGTTCAAGCACCTGTCCCTCCACTTGGCTCAGCACCACAAAGGTTCACATTAGCACATGATCCCCGGGGGAGGGGCTCATCCCGCCTGGTGGCTGCGGGGGTTCAGCAACAGCGGAGGGGTGTGCATTGGGGGGAGGTGGGTGTATGCTCTGGGGGAGGCAGGGGCTGGCATATGGCTCAGTGCTGCGTCCGTGATGCTCTGATTGATAGATAGATGGATGATGTGGATGTCTTTATGCGGTCACTTCTTCACACAAGTACAACACAGATGACACATGATGGAATTAGTATTTTGGAGTAACTGGTTAACAGTTGGTGTGAATGGTTGGTGGCGGTCGGAGGGGCTGTTGGCACTTGCTGGTTGCCTTGCTTCTCTCAGTTTACCCCAGGACAGCTGTGGCGACAGTAGTGTAGTTTATCACCCTTATGTATGGAGTGAAAGAATAATGACATGTGAAGGATCTTTGAGTGTCCAGAAAAAGCTCTATATAAATCCAATCCATTATTATTGTTATATATTATGCAATAAGAATATAAGTGTGTATGAGTGTTGGTTATCTACCCTTAAAAACAACAAACAATACATCACGGGGCATGTATTATAAATGATAGGATCTTATTTTCAATCTTTACATAATAAGTAAGTCATATTTATTCATATAGCACCTTTCAAAAATATAGTCACAAAGCATCTTAAAATTGTTACACTTTCCATTCACTCCACACGGTGACTGAAAGTGGGGCTGCATAACTGAGGAGCCACTCTTCAGTTATGAATGAATAAAGCTTAATAGTCCCAGAGTTGGAAAATTACAGATACCAACCATTTACTCACATGTTTTTAGTGGTCGGGGAAAGCAGAGTAAATCAAACGGAAAAGGACCTCTCCTTTATTAGATTTTTGTATGTTTTATGCCATCTGATACTGTATATGTCATAACATAATCGTGACGTATTGGCTTTTGAAATACTCCTGGTCTAGATCAGACTAGATCAGACCAAGACCAGGGCTAAACCAGGATTGAAACAGGACCAAGCCAAGTCTTAAAATCCGGTCCGATACAAATACTTAACCAATTATGAATATTTAATCTCACTTCACACTTTGCAAAGGTCCTGCAAATGCTATTAAACCTCACCCCATAGATACACTGTTATGACATGCAATAACTACTGAATATAAAAGAGATTAATAATTTAAATTGAGCCAACAAATTAGAACCATCATTAAAAAAAACTATGCTTGAAACCATTTTGCATAAAACCCAGCCCGGTTCAAGGTAATGCCAAGGCCCGGCTGATAAAGAATTACAGCATTAATTCAGCAAAGTGAACTTATTGCTCCTTCTTGGTGAAGATCCCTGGAGCATTCTGCGCTGCGTGCTGAAATGATAGCATTTCCATTTCCCCCATCAAAACGAGTGTGCAGTGTGTCCGTCTGTGTGTGCGGCCGTAAAGGCGAGGAGGAATTGGTGGCGTTTTCTTTATTA